AAAAAAAAAAAAAAAAAAAGGCACAACTAGTTAGATACATGCAACACTTCAAGAACAGCATTTATCCAGTAATGTGCACAAAAAATAGGGGTTGGGTAAATGCAACGGCCGCTGCAAGAATCTTCTTGTTACACAAGGTGCTCCATAACAAAATTTTGCTTATCCTGATTAACATTAAGGTAAAAGTACATCACAAATGCTGCAAGAAGTCTTCTTTACTATACACAGTGCCTTGCTTAAACTCACCAAAGCAAAGCAAAAATTGCAGCTGTAATAGTAGTACCTTCTATATTACTTTGCCTAAGATATGTATCTCACACACATACAAATCAATCAACTACACCTCAACCACTTGGGCTGACTATATGAATCCTCTGTATCCATTCCGCACATCTTTTCTTTTTTTCTTTTTTTCTTTTTCTTGGTCGTAGAGCCTCATAATGGTTATTTCTCTGAGAAGTTAAAGTACAGGGCACTACTACTAAAGCTGCAATTTTTACCTTGTTTTTGGTCAGAATAAGCAAATTTCTATAATCATGGGGCACCATGTGTAACAAATAAGACTTCTGTATCACATTACTCTCTTACATCAATAAAAAATACCCATTCATCTCTATTAGGGCTCATTTCAAATTCTAAAATTCATGCATAATATTTATGATGCAAACATATATAAACAAACAGAGAGTTAGAAGCTTACTCTCGAGCTTCGATTTCGAGGGTAGAAGACATGGTTATGGGTGAGAGCCCTAGTTAAGCCCTGCTTTAGGTGTAAAATCACGAACAAATACAAATACTACACACACACACACAGAAAAATGTAAGGATTTTGCCTAGGAACTGAAAATCGCAGGAACTGTTGGTCAGTTCTCCACCATTCTCATTTGTGGGCCTAGTAGATGGGCCGAAATGTTCCTTCACCTATTACAGAAGGCTTTTTACCTTTGGGCCACATATTGGATTGGAGACTTGTAAACGTAAAAATTAGCCCGGATGGCCAGTTTTTGGAATAAAAATAAATTGTAGAAATATGACACTTTTTAGGTGGTCTTTAAGTTTTGACCCCCATTTGCTATGCAAGCATAACTTCAAGGTTAAAAGTTACAATTATTGTCCATGGGATGAGCGAGGGACAACACTTATTAAATTTGAAGTTCTGCCAATGAGACAAGCGGGGACAAAAATTCAATATCATCTACTTTTGAGGGTTATTTTTGTATTTCACCGCTTGTTAATATTCGGCCACCATTTGAATCTCAAAAAAATAAGGTACTTTTAAAGATGAAATTAACATTTGAATAAAAATATCCTCGCTAAAATACGAAACTCCAGAAAGGTGCTGAAATTCGAAACTTTGACAAGTGGAACTCCATCACAATATCTTGGAGTTCGAAAAATTCCAAAAGTTAAAATGTGCAGTTCAAACTCCCGAATTTTTAAACTCATATCTTGGAGTTCCTACTCATTCACGACATTGCTTATCTTTTTATTTCGAAATAAAGACAAGAAAATAATCCCTGTCTCTCTTGCTAGTTGCTTAGTTTGTATAACAGAGGAGGATAGGAATAAAGATGCAAAGAACTTTTTCCTCTTTACTGCAACTTATTATTAGTTTCTTTTTTATTGAAAAAGATTGTAGTACAATTTTAATTTCTCTCATTTCCGATCTGACAATCCAAGAAAAGAAGACAAATAATTTTCCTTACTTTTGCATCGGATCACTATCATTAATCCGACGGAGATATATGAAGTACTTTAATCTTTACACTCCTATATTCCCATAGAGAGCTAGTAGACAATATTTTTAAGTTTTCAAACCTTCATTATTTTATCTTATTTTTAAATTTTAATACCTTGTTTAATGCAAAACCTTGTAAAGTTAACCAATGTTCTGAGATGTATTTGTATCATAAGTAGTTATTGTGCGAGAAGACTATTATGATAAGGTACCCTAACTCATGATGTCACGATCTAAAACTAGGAGACTGTGATCAACTAACGATCCTAATCTTCATTGAGCAAATTTTTAATCCAAAAAATATGGGCGTAAAAGTTGGAATGATAATGCAGAAAAAACTCTATCAATTACGAACAAGGAATAGTAAAACCCACATTCTTATAAAATAAGATTCACTGATCACATATATGAAGCAATGAAACTTGTTCAAAGACAAGTGAAAAAGATGGGCAAAAATACTTGTAGATTTAACGAAAGTATATGACCGTACGAGAAAAGTGCTGTTAATATTAATGCCTTACTAGATTTTCTTTGCTGCCTTATTGCTTCTGCGTAGGTTCTTTGATTTAGTACTTTGTTTCTATTTATTTGTCCTTGTCTTCAGTTGGAAAATGATATTCTTGCAGAAGAGAAAGAAGCCTTGGAACATCAAATGAGAATGGTATCCGTTGAGTTAGCGGTTCTAAAAGCTTCTTCTAGTCAAGTTGAGGAGGATAAGGACATACTAGAATCCTCTTTTACTGAACAACTTTCAAAGGCTAATGAAGAGATAAGGAGTTTGAAAAATCTCCTTAATCAAAAAGAGGTTTACGCGGGTGAATTGGCTCAAACGCTTACCCAAGCTCAAGAAGATCTCCGCACTTCTACCGATAAAATTCTATTCTTGGAAAGTTTTCTTGCTCCTTTGAAGACAACTTATGAAGCCTCGGAAGTAGAAAAAGAAGAGTTGAGAGCTGAAATTGATTAGTGGGAGAAGGACTATGAAGCCCCCGAGGATAAGTCATCGCTAGATGTTAGCTGGAATTTTTTGAACACTCGCCTCGAGACTTTAACTGAAGCCATCTAGGAAGGTTTTGACCTTAACGCTGAGATTTGCTAAGGCCAGATAAACAACTGAACAAACTCTGCAACGTCAAAGCTTTTCACACCTGAAGACAAAGGTTCTAAGAGTGATGGAGATGAACTTGTTCCTGGTGAAGCTGATGTTCAACCCTGTTCTCCCCAAGTTGATCCTTCTTCTCCCGTTGATGATGCTTATTATCTTTTCCCCTTTTCCAGACTTTTTGTTGAAAGTGTTTGTTTGTTAGTTTTTATTTTGAATACCCTTATATTTTTTGGACAACTCTTTTGGAAGGTTTTGCCGCCCCTGTCTTTTTGGGGTTATGACATAAATACTGCCCCTGTTCTTTGGGGTTATGACATAAATATATTTATTGCTTTTGGCGCATATTATGATTTCTTCCCTTTTAATAGTTGAGCTTACTCTTGCACTTAAAAATGTTTTAATAGATCATGACTTCGATATACACGAATTTTCATAAAAGAGTGCCCTTTTATATTAACGACACTGATGAGGATGATGTCTCATCTTCATATTGGTGCAAATATATGAAATATGAAGTAGATATGAAAAGAAGAATAATTTGAGGAAGTTTTATGTTTTGAACTTTCAAATAAATAAATTTGTACATCATTTTTATAACTGTTCATACAACACATTCATAACTGCTTTCACCCGGGTATATTCTTTCGTGACTAAATTTATGGCCTTAACCTAGAAACTCGTGGGAATATCTTGCATCCTTTTTGCGAGTTTGGACTCATTTCAAAAGTTTTCAAGGGTTTCTTCAAGGTTTTGATTCAGCTGAACTATCTCCTTGGTTCTTTTTCCTTCCTTCTATATGCATAGTCCCTCTAGCGCTAGAGCTTTGAAGTATGAAATCTCGAACACTGGATCACTCCTTTCTTTTGGTCCTTTTCCTGAAAAGCAAAATACAAACGGGACTCGAAGATAATTTCTTAAATGATGACTGCATAAACAATTTTCCCATCAGAAAAGTTATAACCTAGACCAGGAATAATTCAGTATTCCGCGTGTCTTTGGCTTTAATATCATCATTTGGTACGGGCCAACTTTTTGCCTATCATCTAAAATAGTTAGTAAAATTTAAAAGAACAAAATAAAATCGAACTTGCATGATACTGACGGTGGATATTATCTTCGTTTAGAAGTAATACTTCTTCAAATGGACTGCATTTCATTTCGATAGTGATACCTTGCCATCCATGGTTTCGAACTCGTATGCTCCTTTTCCAGCGATGCCTCGAATCCTATATGGGCCTTCCCAATTTGGACTCAATTTTTTCTGTATTTGTTGCTTTTGTTTACCGGAATACCTTTTTGAGGACGAAGTCCCCAATCTTAAAGTACCTCAAATTAGCTTTCCTGTTATAATATTGTTCAATCATATGTTTTTGAGCCGCCTTTCGAATTAATGCTACTTCTCTTCTATCTTCTAACAAATCCAAATTTACCCGCAGCTCTTCCTTGTTTTCCTCTTCAGTGGCATGTGTGTACCTCGTACTTGGTTCACCTATCTACACCAGAATTAATGTTTTTGCACCATATACAAGTGAAAACGGAGTCTCACCCGCACTAGTTTTTGCGGTTTCTCGGTAAGCCCATAGCACCCCTGGTAATACCTCTGGCCATTTACTTTTTGATTCTTCGAATCTCTTCTTTAAGTTAATGATAATAACTTTATTTGTCGATTCATCTTGTCCGTTGGCCGCAGGGTGATAAGGTGCGGATGTAATTCGTTTAATTTGCCAACTTTGGAAGAATTCTGTGATTTTCGCGCCTTTGAATTGTGGGCCATTGTCACATACAATTTTTTTTGGAACTCCAAATTGACATATAATATTTTTCCAAATGAAATCCCTAACTTCTTTTTCCCGCACCTGTTTGAAAGCACCTACTTCTACCCATTTTGAGAAATAATCTGTTAAAACTAACATAAACTGTACCTTTCCTTTAGCTTGAGGCAACGACCTTACGATGTCCATGCCCCATTTCATGAAGGGCCATGGTGAAATAACTAAATGCAACAGCTCTACCAGTCGGTACATGTTATTGGCATATCGTTGACATTTATCACACCTAACTACAACGTTTTCTGCTTCTTCTTCCATTTTTGACCAATAATATCCTGACCTTATTAATGTTTTTACCAACGATCTTCCCCAGACGTGATTACTATAATGCCCCTCATGTACTTCTCTCATTACATACTTTGTTTGTGATGGACCGAGGCACCGTGCTAAAGGTCCACCAAACCTTTTACGATATAAATTTCCACGAATTAAGCAATACCAAGCAGCTTTCTGCCGTAGCAATTGTGATTTCTTCTTATCTTCAGGCAAGATACCATACTGCAAAAAATTCACAAATTCGTTTCTCCAATCCCAAGTTAAATTATTAAAATTTACCTCACTCTTGGTTTGATCGAGTGTCGAATGAAACAAATGTATCAAAGTGGCATTTTCTGCATTTGTTACATCCGTGACAGACGAGAGATTTACCAACGCGTCTGCTTCTGCATTTTCCTCCCTGGGTATTTGCACGGCTTTTCATGTCTGAAATTGTCTAAGCAATTCTCGTACCTTTTTCAAGTATTGCTGCATTCGCGTCTATTTTTCCATGTAAGTCCCCTTCATTTGCTTAACCACGAGCCGCGAGTCACTTTTGATCACAATTTGTTCGATACCAAGTTCTCGTACCAATTCCAAGCCTGCAATCACAGCTTCATACTCTGCCTCATTGTTAATGATTAGATAACATTTTATTGCTTGTCTTATGACTTCACCTGAGGGTGGAATTAAAATAATTTCTAAACCCGCTCCTTTAACATTTGAGGAAGTGTCAGTAAACAGGGTCCAAGTCCCCGGATTAGCTCCGGTAAATACCTGTAGTTCCTTCTTTGCCCCAGGAACTAAATTCATGCCAAAATCCGCTACGAAATATGCTAACACCTGTGATTTTATTACAGTTCTAGGTTGATATATGATATCATACTCACTGAGTTCTATTGCCCATTTAGCTAATCTATCTGATAATTCATGTTTACGCAATATGTTTCTTAAGGGCAAAACAACTATAACAGAAATAGGATGACATTGAAAGTAAGGTCGTAACTTCCTAGATGCCATAATTAATGCTAACACAAGCTTTTGTAGGTGTGGATACCGTGTCTCAGAATCTAGTAAAGACTTACTAACATAATAAATTGGGGATAGTTTACCTTTATCTTCTCGTACCAACACCGCACTTATCGCTACTTCTAACACAACGAGGTAAATGAGCAATCTTTCACCGTCTTTTGGTTTGGCTAACAAAGGCGGATTTGATAGATACGACTTTAGGTCCTTGAGATCTTGTTGGCACTCGTCAGTCCATTCAAAGTGATTTTGCTTTTTCAGCATTGAAAAGAATTTAAAACTTTTTTTCTGATGACTTTGATATAAATCTCCCTAGAGCTGCTATCCTGCCTGTTAATCTCTGCACTTCTTTCTTGCTCGTGAGTATATCTGGTATATCCTTAATAACTTTGATCTGTAGGGGATTCACTTCAATACCTCTATTAGAAACAAAAAAACCTAAAAACTTACCTGAAGCCACACCAAAAGCATATTTTTCTGGGTTTAACTTCATATTGTACTTGCGGAGAATCTTAAATTTGTCTCACAAGTGTTGAAAATGATCCCCTGCTTGTGTTGACTTGACCAACATATCGTCTATGTAGACTTTCATGGTTTTTCCCAAATGTTCTTGGAACATTTTAGTCACCAATTTTTGATATGTGGCTCTAGCATTTTTCAAGCCAAATGGCATGACTTTGTAATAATAAGTTCCCCTATCTGTGATAAACGAAGTTTTTTCTTCATCTAGAGGATCCATTTTTGTTTGGTTATAACCTGAATATACGTCTAAAAAACTTAAAAGTTCATGACCTGTAGTAGAATCAATTAATTGATCTATATGTGGTAAAGTAAATAAATCTTTAGGACAAGCCTTATTTAAATCAATATAGTCTACGCAAACTCGCCATTTTCTATTCTTTTTTGGATAGCTAACCAGTCAGGGTACTTTACCTCTCGTATTGAACTAAATTTTAAAAACTTTTGTACCTCATCCTGGATCACTTGATTTTTAAGGACCCCTGCTTCCTTTTCTTCTGCTTGATAGGTGGGTGTAAAGGATCCTCATTCAGCTTAAGAGTCATCACCTCCGGTGGTATATCTGTCATATCTGAGTGCAACCAAGCAAAGCAATCTGCGTTAGCACGTAAAAATTCAATTAACTTACCTTTTATTTCTGGGCTCAAATTTGCTCCGATGTAAACTTTTGTGTCTGGCCAGTGGACAAATAATATTATAGCTTTGAGCTCCTCGGTAGTTGTTTCAATATTTTCTTGTGGCTCTTAAATCACATCCGGTCTTGAGTCAATATCAGTTTGTCCTTGCATGTCTTCAGTTGAGGTTTTCGCAATAGTGACCTCAACCGAATTCTGTAATTGCTATTTCGCGTCAGCATCATTGGCTACCGTGCTTGCGATCACCACTGAGTTTATACTTCTTGAAGCTTGTTGATCTCCACGGATTTGACGAATTCCCCACTGCGAAGGAAATTTGATAACTTGATGCAATGTGGAGGGCACATCGTCCATATCATGAATCTACGGTCTTCCCAGAATTATATTATAGGCCATGTCCGCGTCTATCACCTGAAACTTTGTATCTTTGACGACCCCTTATGCAAATATGGCAAGTACAACTTCCCCTTTCTTTTTTTAGCAAATTATACTACTAGGCGGTATGTCCAGTAGCTAATTTATTAATAACAAAAGAAAACCCACAAAGGAAGAGTACAAGTAAGAGGGGCAAAATCTACAGTAGTGTTGGCTCTATACCTTGGCTATATGATCATCCCTCTGCACCTCCATCGCCTTATGATGGCAGCCTCATGCTGAGGATGTGACTGCTGGCAAAGACTTACAAGGGCGAATGATCTCATAGCCGTAAGGATATTTTCCAAAGGCATAAGACAAATAACAAACACATACTGAGCTAGACTTTACCTTACAATTCCTATTGAGGCATGTACAACCTCATCTTTTAGCAAGCATGTAAAAAATACGAACTAAAAGAACTAAGTACTATATGATCATCATAGAGTTTATAACACATTCTATGATGATACTACATATGATAATGCTTTGAAAATAATAAAATAAAACAAGGTAGAAATTAGATTCTTTCCCTCATTCATGATACTTGTGAGTTCTTCAATTTGTAGCTCCTTAAAATCCTCTTCAGCTATCTTCAATCAATCTTCAAAATTTCTCATTTCTTCTTTGATCGATTGGACCTTGTAGATGTGGTCGGGGCTGCCCTTTTTTTCTTTGCATCTCTCATTGGGAGTATCCTAAGTGTTACTCCTCCATTCACTTTACCATCCCAACTATTCTCCCGTATGTGTGTCTTATTATTTTTTCCACTATGCGTAGGAGATAAATCTCCACATCTAGCTGCCTGAGCTCGGCAATAATCAAGCAAATCTTCTTCCTCGCCTTCTTCCCAAACTTCAACACGTAAGTTGTTCTCTAGTTGTTAAGTAGCACATTTATGTGCAACCATATCTAAAGGTTCATTCCTCTTCATAACCATGGCATTAGGTTTTATTGTGGAATATTTCAATTGAGCATTTTTCTTTTTATCTGATTTTTTGTGCCTATTTTCAGCCTCTTTGAGGTCACGTTGTTTCATTTGTTCATGTGTTGTTGCAACGATGCCAATAGGTTCCAAAGCATCCAGTAGTTTACGATCATTTGCCGAAATAACTTGTGTACTGTGATCAAATTGTTGTTGCCTAGTTATTATTTCTTGCGCAAGTTGTATCGCTTGTTGATCTCCCAGAATTCTGTTACCACCTGAAGATTTTGTGGGAACAAAAACAGGCGTCATTGAGTTAAGCTTAGGGTTGTTCAAAACCGAACCAAAATCGTTAACCGAATCGATGTCTTATTGGCTTATTGGTATCAAATTATCGGGATAATGGATGGGGAACAGATTGCGATTTTATAATTAACGGTTTACCGGTTTGGGGGCGGATTACTCAATTTTCTTATCGGGTAAACTGTTAACCCGTTAAGAATTTTTATATTTATACTTTTACCCCTAAGTATATAAAGTACTATTGAAATCCTAAATGGCTAAATCCCTAATGTCTATTTCCTAATTCTCAATTGTCTGCAGCCACTAGAGGTAGAGAAGTCGTCGTCTCTCTCTTGAATTGAGAACTGAGAACTGAGAAGTCGAAAAATTCAAATCTGAATCTGCTCTTCACCTCGTGCTCATTAGTCATCACTCGTTACTCGTCACACAGTAAGGCAATCTCGCTCTCGTCTCAATCTGAATCTGCTCGTAGCATTTCATCATCTGATTATAATATGATGATTACTACTTCTTGTGAACTACTTATCATCAATTTGGAACTTGGAAGTGTTTTCTTGGAAATTTAGAAAGTTTATCTCAACTTTCTACTCAATCTTCGCTGTTTTAAGAAATTACACCATTGTTTATCTGTCTTTCGTTCCCATTGTTGTTTGTATATTACTATTCTTTTTCCAACTTCTTGATACAATTACAGGTGGTTGCCCAGTTTTATATGAATATTGATTTTTCTCACATGTTGTACCTTTATCTATTTGTATATTACATAATCGAATGTCCTTCTGAAAGTTTGATTGATTACTGAACGAATGTGCTTTTCTGATTTTACATATTTGGTTAATATATGTATGACAGTATGAGTAGTCTTGAAGACTCTTCAATTTAAAAATACCATTTGTTTAGATCTTAGATGGTATTAAAAATTTGGTATTGATTTGAAACTATTTGGTATTGATTGAATTATTGTTCAAAAAATTTCTATTTGGTTTATCCGATAAGCCGCCCGATAACCGTCCGATAATTATTAATCTGATACCAATCTACCCGTTGTCTTATTGGATGGCTAGCGGATTATTATATTTATAATCTGATAATTGCTAAGCCGAACCGTTAAGTGTAATTATCCGCCCGATTCGCCCAATAAGCACCCCTAGTTGAGCTTTCTCTTGAGATTCAAAGTTGAGGAAATTTGATTGTTTGGCAAGATTGGGGATCCAACTGAACGCAAGTCATCCTCAATTTCTTGTTCAGCAAATTCATCAAATTCATCATCTTCATCATTCTCCCAATTCTCCTCTTCTTCAAACTCAATTTGATTTGCCCATGTTTTCAGCCTTGGCAAAATTCGATCAAGAACTTGACCCTCTTGTCGGCATGTTCTTTCATTGATCACCTCCCTCAAATCTTGACTTCTCTCCTTGATCACTTCCTTCTCATTACCTGTAGATAGTAGTGGCTGCCCAGAACCACCACTGTGCTCACCAAACGATTCCACAATTTGGGAAGGAACTTCTTGTGCCGATGTATTCAAAGTGACCAAAGGTTGCTTGATCATGGGATTGACATTTAACATCATGGAAACTAAGGCTTCCTTGATGATTTTGGCCACTGCTGGACTTGAAATATGCAGTCTAGGTGAGCTAGAAAGAGATCTACTATCACCCTTCAAAATTTCAGCCAAGTTGTTCTCCGAAGCGTTACGTCGAAAACCAAATTTGTTAGCCAAATTCTCACTGCCTCGTTCTTCCTCACCACTGATAGTACGTGGTATTAACTGTTGCATCATGTTAGGATTATTTAAGATTTGTAGATTGATATCAACACTCTTCCCGTTCGCTAATATTTCAAAACTGTTTTGACTGGTGACAGTCATTGGAGCATTTTATCGACCTGCTGAAACAGTAATAATTTGCTGATTTTTCTTTGCGCCTGGTGATGTATTCTGCCTCACCACTGTCCAACCTTTTCCTTTGCATTTTGTGCAACTACTTTCTCCAAGTGAGCTGTAACAGACTTGCCTGAAGCGTCTAAAATATGTCCAGATTTGGATGGAGCAAGCACATGTCCATCTCTTTTTTCCACACCTACCTGTTGCACATTAGTAGCTATAGGAGCTGCTGGTTTTTTTAACTAGATCACCTAGTGCAACAGGATTTTTAGAAACTCCTACAGTAGTTATTAGAGTTGCTGCCTTCCTCTCGATCTAATTATCCTTAATACCATCAGTAACACCAACATAACTTGCTGGTTTTCACCTGATACTTACTGATCATTAGCCTGTTCCTGCCTTGTATTAACGTGCCCAACAACTAAAGGGAACTTATCAGCAATCCAAGCTTGAACAAGATCAATACCAGGTCCCTTAGCAGCCAGATTTTCCACCTCCAAAACCTGAAAGATATTCTTCACATCTGTACCTTTAGAACCTGTTATGAACACCGATATAGCTGAAAATGCACATGCACCTGACCAAGTCAACAACTAGATCAACACTCCTCAATTAACAAAAAATGTGAGGCGGAACATAAGAGTGAAGAAGCATCCAAAAAAATTAACAGACTTTGTTTGGCAACAGAGGGCTGGAACACGTGAAGTGTGAAGCAAGGAAATAGGATTTAGCATTCCTTATAAATACCTAGTAGAATAAGAATTACAGTAGGCTTGTATTATGTGAAAGTTCTGTATCCTCTTATCTCCCTTCTCTCCGTGTCTTCTCATCCCCATTCTTGTGATGTTTGAGTTCTCTGTAATTTCCTTTAACTGAGTTGTTCCTATTACTGCCAGTTTATCAATACAATATACTTTGGTGTTATTTGAGTTTGTACCATTGGTGCTTTCACTAATTCCAGATCCATGACTGGATTTCGAGTTCCACTGCTACTGACATTATGCTGTCTTCATCGTCTTCTAAGGAGATCGCGGATCTCGTAGTCTCCGTTGCTATCTTACTACGGCCTTTGCTAGGCAGCAGAAGCTACTCTTGGATTTGATGTCTCAGGTGGCCAATTCATTGTACTCTCAAGCAGTTGCCACAGGTGAGGCCAATTATCCTCTCGCTTCTCTGGTGCTAATCCAGAGGGTTGGGTCTTTGACGCAGAAAGGTACTTTGATTTCTATCATATCTCTGAGGATCACAAACTCTCCTTTGCATCATTCTATTTGGACGGTGAGGCCCGCGAATGGTATCGGTGGTAGTTCCGCAACAAGAAACTGAGTGATTGGCCTCATTTTGCCCTGAAAGTGACGATCCGATTTCAGAAGCGTTCCTTACTTCCACCAGAGGGTCGTTTATCAAAGCTCCGACCGACGTCCACCGTCGTTGAGTTCCAAGCTCGATTTGAATCAATTGCCAATGAAACTAATGACGTTCCGGAATCGTGGTTAGTTCCTGTGTTTACTTCGGGCCTTAGAGCTGATATGTAGACGGCTGTTTTGGCCCATAAGCCCAAAACATTAGATGAGGTCTTTGACTTGGCCCATACCCATGAGTAGAGAATTGTATTGGAGTGGGGAGGGTCGCTGCAACTAGTTTTTCCTAGATCCCCACCCCTCCTACCAACCCTACTTTCTCTACACAAAGTAATTCCCACACTCGTCTTCCAATTAAACGTCTTTCACCAGTCGAGGTTCAGCAACGTCGGGAATAAGGGTTGTGCTTCCATTGTGATGAGAAGTACTCCGCGGGCCATAAGTGTAAGACTCCCCCGCAACTATTATTGCTCGAACACAAAGCACTTGAGCAGGAGCCTCTACCCGATGTAACTATGGCAGATGAAATATTGGTTGATGAGCTTCAAAATTTGGAGGTGATGCACCATTCTTCCATTTCTTACCACGCCATGGCTGGAGGTAACACTGTTTCTACGCTTAGATTCACTGGCTATATTCAACACTCACCAATGCAAGTCATGCTTGACAATGAAAGCACACACAACTTTATTCAAAATAGTGTGGCTAATTTCCTTCGATTGGCTGTAGAACCCATTCCTCCCTTCTCAGTTATGGTAGGAAGTGGGCAATGTCTTCAATGTGCAGGCCTTGTCCGCCAAGTTCCGCTTAGCATTCAAGGGTGTCTTCTGACCATGGATTTCTTTGTCCTGCCTATGTATGGCTCTGACATTGTCTTAGGAATTTCGTGGATTGCTACTTTGGGTCGTGTGGTGACTGACTATGGCCAGTGGGTATTGAATTTGTGTTGAATGACAAGCAGGTCCAGTGGCTAGGTGAGTCATTTCCAGATGTGCAACCGGTCCAACTTCAGTGCTTAAGGCGCATTTTCACTACAGATGCTATTGATACCTATTATCATTTGGAGTTAATTGGCGTTTCACTTCCGAAGTCCCCTGATCCTCCCCCGACATTGTCTACTTTATTGGAGTCATTCGAAGATAGTTTTACTAAGCCACATAGTCTACCACCTGCGAAACCCTTCTCTTCCCCTATGTTGCTTGTTTGTAAGAAGGATGGCTCTCGGCGTTTTGTGTTGATTATAGGGCCTTGAATGCTATCACCATACGAGATAGATTCCCAATTCCCACAGTTGATGAATTATTTGACGAATTACATGGTGCAAGGTATTTTTCTAAACTCGATTTTCTGTCCGAGTATCATCAGATTCGAGGGAAACCAGAGGACATTGCAAAGACTGCATTTCGCACACACGAGGGCCATTATGAATTTTTGGTAATGCCTTTGGGCTTTCCAATGCACCCTCCACCTTCCAAGCTACGATGAATTCTGTGTTTTGCCCCTTTTTGCGGCGATTTGTATTGGTATGTTTGACGACATTCTGGTTTATAGCCCATCATGGGAGCTTCATTTGGACCACCTCCAGTCTGTTCCATCCACGTTGAGGCAATACAAGTTGGTTGCTAAGTTCACTAAATGCATGTTCGGTCAGGAGACAATGGACTATGTAGGTCATGTGTTATCACAACAAGGGTTATCAGTGGATCCTACAAAGATTACCACTATTCAACAGTGGCCCGTGCCTCGCAATTTTAAGGAGGTTTGCAGTTTTTTGGGGCTCGCCGGATATTACTGGCGTTTCATCCGTAACTATGCTATGATTGCTAGCCCATTGACAGATTTGTTGCGTCATGACTCTTACTCTTGGACCCCCTAGCTCAAACTGCCTTTGAGACTCTTAAGAATTATCTCAGCTCTACGCCAGTGTTGGCTTTACCTGACTTCACTCAACCATTTCAAGTTGAAACTGATGCATCAGGGACCATCATTGGGGTTGTTCTCTCTCAGAGAGGTCATCCAATTGCATATTTTAGTCTAAGGCTCTGTCCTCGAATGCAGAAGGCTTCTACTTATGTGCGAGAAATGTTGTCTATCACTCAAGCTGTTAGTAAGTGGCGCCAATATCTATTGGGGAGACTCTTCACCATCATCACTGATCAGCAAGCACTTAAGAACCTCACTAATCAAGTAATACAAACTGCGGAGCAACAAAAATGGTTGGGTAGGGTTATGATTTTAATATTATGTACAGACCGGGGAAGCACAACCTCGTCGCAGATGCCTTGTCTCGAACGCCAACTGCTTCCCTTATGGCTATTTCTAGTCAATCCTTTCAGTTGTTTGACACATTACGCCAAGCAAACAAGGTGCATCCCGAATTATTGTCTATTCACCATGGCCTTCAATCTGATCCTACTGCATATCCCGATTATTTATTTCGTGACAGACTCTTATTCTTTAAAAGTCGTTTGGTACTGCCTACAGATTCGCCACTTTGTTTACACTTATTCCATGAGTTCCACTCTTCACCAATCGGGGGACATTCTGGCATTGCTCGTACCTTTCATCGCTTATCCTCAAATTTTTATTGGAAAACCATACGGCATGACATCAAAGTGTTTATAGCTACTTGTCCTACTTGCCAGCAAATGAAGGATCTACATCATTATCCAGCTGGCTTATTACAGACCCTACCGATTCCAGAACAAGTCTTTGAGGAGATCACCATGGATTTTGCGACTTGCTTGCCTCTATCTCGTGGCAAGACAACCATCATTACAATAGTTGACAAATTATTGAAATATGGCCACTTTATACCCTTTCCAACTACTTTCACGGCCCTGACTGTTGCGGAGGCTTTTGTTTCTCCCATCATCAAGCTTCATGGTCCTCCGAAGTCCATTGTCACTAATCGTGACCCCTGTTTCTTACATGTGTTATGGAAGGAACTAAACCGACTCCAGAGAACATCTTTAGCCATGAGCACTGCTTATCATCCCCAGACGGATGGCCAATCTGAGGTCCTCAATAAATGTGTTGAGCAGTATTTACGTTGCTACATCACTGCTTCTCCAAAGGATTGGGTCAGCATTCTTCCTTGGGCGGAGTACTGGTACAATACTTCTTTTTAAACCTCGGCAGGTATGTCTCTTTTTTGGCCTTGTATGGCCACACTCCTCCCACTATAGCTCGTTTTGTTCTGGATGGCAGTTCTCACAACCTAGTGGAACAGTTCTTCCTGCGTCGTGATGAGGTCCTAGAGGCCCTCAAGGCAGATTTACTACGTGCTCAGAGTCGTATGAAGAAGTTTGCTGATCGAAAGTGCACGGATGTCATGCCGCAGGTTAGGATTGGGCATATGTTAAATTGCAGCCTTATAAACAACATTCTTTGTGTTCCCATTAGAAGCACAAGATGGATAGGAAGTATTTTGGACCCTTCAAGGTGTTGCGACACATTGGTCTAGTGGCTTACAAATTAGACTTACCCGAGGTGGCTTCAATTCATCCTGTCTTCCATATTTCAATGCTCAAGAAGTGTGCAGGAAAACCTGAACAACAAATCACTCCCTTGCATCTCAAAAACTCTTCTTCTACTGCTACGGGCGTGAACCTTGTGGACAAGGTTCATTGTTTGGATGTGAGTAATGTTATGAACACCGATAGAGCTAAAAATGCACATGCACCTGACCAAGTCAGCAGCCAGATCAGCACTCCTCAAGTAACAGAAAATGTGAGGCACAACATAAGAGTAAAAAAAAACATCCAACAAAATTAATAGACTTTGTTTGGCAGCAGAGTGCTGGAATACGTGAAGTGTGAAGAAAGAAAATAGGATTTAGCATTCCCTATAAATACCTAGTAGAATAAGAATTGCATGACGTTTGTATTATATGAAAGTTCTGTATCCTCTCATCTCCCTTCTCTCCGTGTCTTCTCATCTCCCTTCTCTCCGTGTCTTCTCATCCCCATTCTTGTGGTGTTTGAGTTCTCTGTAATTTCCTTTAACTGAGTTGTTCCTATTACTGCCAATTTATCAATACAATATACTTTGGTGTTATTTGAGTTTGTACAAGAACATGCTGGTTTTTTTAGCTCTTACACCAGTATTTTCTATTATGTGCATGCACTATACCTCGATCATTAATCGTTTGAACCCCAGGAGCATTTTGTGCAATATAATGATTTTGTAGAGCAGAACCAACAACCTGGTAAATCGTCACTAAAGTAGTAGCAGCTGGAATGTCACGAGGGAGTTTAGAAACAGGTTTCTGTTGATCACTACTCAGTTGCCCAATTTCTATATCATCAACCTTACCACTCCTACCTCTTTGATCAACCGGTGTAACCTCTTGTTGTTCATTACCATTAGTATCTTGAATCAAACCTGTACCATGACCAATAACACCAGCTGGGACAGTCTGAACAACAACATCAGTCCCCATCACACTAGGATTAGGATTGTCCTTCTCATTTGTTGTGCCTACCACCAAAACGTGTGAAGACCTTCCTGGTTCAGCATCAACTAAGTTCCCTATAGTTTTAGCAAGCTCAAAATTTTGTTATTTCTTTGCATTCAAAAAGTCCCTGGCATCACCTTGTAATGTTTCAATATTTTGAACATCTTCCTCGACTAGATCATCCACATCATGAGTTGATGCTATTGTTTTTCCTTTCAAACGATGACACTCTGTATCCTCATGACCTTGGTGTTTACAATGCAGCAATATGACGACAAATTATCATAAACAATTTCCTAGAACTCCTCTACTATCTTACCAGTTGTAGAATCAACATATTGAAGTCGCACCTTCTCAGGAAGTTTGTCCATTAAATCCAGAATCACCTTCACTCTTGTTATGCTTGGACGAGATCTTATTTGAGTTGCCTTATCAATGGAAAAGGGTTTTCCCATAGCAGACGCAATGGATAATAAAGCTTTCTTTGCAAAAAACTCCGGTGACCAGTGTGGTAGTGAAATCGAAATCACTACCTTGGTAAATCCAATGGACCATGAAAACACACTAACCTGATGCTCCTTCCCCTTGTGCGTATTATATGTGACTGATCTTGTCAAACCATTGACGAAATCATCATATTGATCAACTCTTAGCAACAGTTGTCTAGGAGAAATCCAATCAAATAATGCCCTTTAATACCAAAACGTTTTGGTAGTAGAGTTCTTACCGTTGCTAAATCTGGGCCACCGGTTGAAAGCTTCACAACACTGGCTTGATGAAGACCTTCTTCCTTTGCAAATTCATGTCGTTCATCAATAGTTAACTAAAGAGTTGGAATTCCGTGGATAATTTCGACTGGTTTTAGGTTAGTTTTGGGGAAAGATGAATCTGCTAGATTTGTATGTAAGCGTGTAGCATAGGAAATTGATTGGCTAGGGTTTATGGACAAATCTTTAGGGTTTGAGGCAGCCTCTCCCACAGCAAAAGGCTGGGGAGAGATTAATGCATCCATGGCTGCTAAGTCTCCATAGAATCGCCAAGAAAGGAGAGAGAATAGAGCTTTTTGCAGGGGTTTGACTTTTTGCATTTTTTTTCAACTTCCCCTTTTGTAATAACACTTGAATTATCAAACCCGGACAAGGACCGTGCTTTTGGTATGACCTTATCATTAGGTTGGATTTCATTCACCACCCTTAGTAAAATGATATTCACTAAGCTACCTAGATCAATCAAAACTCGTTTTACATTAGTATCATATACAAGTAAAGATATTACCAGCACATCGTTGTGAGGAATCATCAAGCTGTCCGCATCCTCATCGTTGAATGTTATACTGTCGCTATCCAAGACTTGGTGAACTCGCTTTCCATGAGTGACCGTGAATTTTGATGTCTTTTTCGCGGCTGTATATTTTATTTCATTAACCTCATCTCCTCTAGTTATAACGTTGGCTATTCTTTTTGGTGATGGAGGTTTCAGGGGCTATTGTCTGATCTTCATGTATGATTGTCTCCCTTTTTCACTAAACAGATCAGTAAGATAACCCTGCTTCAATAAATGCTCGACCTTTCCTTGCAGAAGCCTACAATCTACTGTTCTATGGCCATGATCATTCTGAAACTCGCATCACAAATCTGGATTTTTTTTTCTTGGATATGATCTCATTCCTTTAGACCATCGCATCTGCACCTTATCTCCAATACCTCTTAACACATCCACTAACTCGTAGGTGTTGATGTTAAAGGTGTAATCTCCTATTCTTGCTCGCGTCTTTTGCCTTGGTATTGAATCGAATCATGCATTCTCCTGTTTAGATCGAGAATCTTTCCCTACAGGTCTCATGTACGGCTCGTACCTATTTTTACCAGACCTCCTTTCTGATTCTGAATGTCTCGATCCTGGTCTTTCATCGGCCCTTGGCTGTGCGACCGTATCTTTTTCTATCTACAGTTTCGTATTGTACCTGTTGTACACATTGTTCCAAGTTGTTACAGAAAATTCTCGCAAACTTTCTTTCCACCTCCTCATGGCTTCTGAACTTTTCTCGTTCAAGTTGCTTGCGAATGACATAGCTGCCTAGTTATCAGGTACTCGAGGTAACATCATCCTCTCTTGCTGGAATCTATCTATGAATTCCCTAAGCAATTTTGTACTCCCTTGTTTAACCTTAAAGATGTCTTCCATCATTTTTTTAACTTTTTGAGCTCCCAAATATGCTTTTATAAATGAATCTGCAAGCTTAGCAAAAGAATAAATAGAATTTCTAGGTAAAATAGAATACCCTTTGTGAGTGTTTCACTAAACGTTTTTAACCAAAACCGATTTGATTTCCTGTTTGGTTTAATCATTGCCTTCCACGCCGGTAGTGAACGCAATTACGTGATCTCGAGGGTCAGTTGTTCCGTTATATTTGGGAATTTCAAGCATTTTAAACTTTTCGGGAATTGGTAAAGGTGTCGCACTTGTCTTCCAGGGTTATTGTGAATATTTTTCAATATCCACCCCTTTGATCACAGGGGGTACACCAGGTATCTGCTCTATACGATTATTTTATTCCTTCAACTGTTTCTACAAAGTTAGTACTAAACTTTGTAAATTAGAATTATTTGGTGTACCTGACCCTCCATCACGAGATTCATTAGGAATTTCTCCACTTCCAGAATTATCAAGCCCTGAACGCGGGTTTTCCAAAGTCGTTGTATTAATTGGTGGAGGAGTTTGCGCTGCATTAGTGATGGTAGGCTATAATCTCGTGTTTTAGTCACTTATTGCTCTCTAATTTACTGTACTTTATTCATGTTTGAGCTTTAATTGATAGTGTTTTGTACTTATTATGTGTTTTATGCCTTGTAGGAGTAATTCTTAGCTATGTAGATGTTATGGAATGAATTCGAGTGATTTGGAGCATTGAAGCCTGAGTAAAAGCCCAAGGGATTAAGCTAACGATTCCAAAAATTGATCTCGTTCAATTTCACACCTCAAAATCAAGGTTATGAAACGGTCGAATGCAATAATAGTACCCAACAATTATCGGGATCGATATCCACAGGGAGCTATATATGGGAGTTAGGAGTATACACTGTAGTATGTGAGTTTAACTATCTTACTTTACATTTCTACAAATCTGGGTTGTTTCTATGTCTAATTAAAAGCTAAGATTGCAAAGTTAAGAAGTAAAACTAAGAGAATTATTTTTGTTATTTTTCAAGTTTTGTAAAAAGCCTAAGGCTATGATCATCACCTAGGTATTTGACTTATGGTATATAGACCTCAGTGCTTGTTTTATTGATCGGGGTGTATTATAGCTATCAACTCTTAATCACCCACTCAATACCTCTCGATCAGAGAGTGATATTGCCCAATTTAACTTTTTCAAGTCGAAATAGGTATTGCAAAAAACGGTTGATAAAAGCTCAAGTCGGGTTATTACTATCTCTAGGTTGAAACCTTTAATTGGGATTATAAATCTCTCGATTGACCCAATTTCTTGTTAGCCAAGTTGTCTTAGACTAAGTCTCTTTCTCAAGTAGAGACTAAGTCAAATAGGCATGAACTAATATTTACAACCATTAATTTTATAAATTAAATCATTAACAAGGTTAAATAATAAACACTCAACCATAAACAAGCATTAAGTTAAACACCCATAAGGTTTATACACTAGGGTTGGGTCACAACCCTAGTAAAAAACTAGGTACTCATGCTTGAAATTGAAGAAATAAAAGAAGAAATGATAATTAAATTCATATTGTGAAATCAATATGATAAAATCTATGTTAAAATATTCTAAAATATGAAAAACTACTAAAAGAAGTAAAGAGAAATGGTTACTGTAGCTGCTGATGTCAAAAGTTGACCTAATTTCGTGAAACTCTTCTATTTATACAAAACTGACAATTTCGGACAAAAATGCTCATCGGAAGATTCTACGGCCGCACAATTCCATGTACGGTCCGCAGATTTCTTCAACTTGTCAGGAACTGGAGGTTTGCGGCTGCATAATTCTGATCTGCGGCCGTGAGGCATTCTTTCTACGGTCCACAGATTTGTAAATGCAGCCGCAACTTGGTCTTCTGTGATCTGCACTTTTACGTCTGCGGCCGCAAGGCACTTCTTCTATAGCCGCACAATTCCTGTGTGGTCCGCACTTCTGAGGGGCTTGGAAACTTGGGAATTTGCATATTCTCTCAACTTTATTCCTAGCCCATCTTTTGCGGACGCACAATTCATGTGCGGTCCGCACTTTGCACAAAAGTTTGCTGGACTTTCCTTCATCATCTGCGGCCGCAGATGCAATTCTGCGGTCCGCACTTTGTGAGCTTCTGTGCCTTTTGTTTCCTTGAGTTTAGATTACTTCTTTTTGAGTTGGATTTCATCTCGGGAGTCCATCTTCCAATATTCCTGCAATTTAGCATATTTCATCAGTTTTGGGAATACAATTCAATGCTTTTAGACTAAAACAAAAGCTAAAATGTGCTAATAAGTAGTCAAAATTCTCACTTATCAGGGGTCGAGGACCAAGTCTGGACGTCAAAAATCGAGATTCAATCTATACTCTGAGAAAAGTCCACAACCGCGGCGCGTGGCGCTATGCGACTGCCCAATTCTCTGCTGCCTGTCAGAATCAACTCTTTGGATTTCCCCACTAATGCCCCGCATGGTGCGTCACCCCATGCGGTGTGCCTATGCAATATTTATCGAGTAAATAACCTATTTCGGCTAGAAGAAGGTGGTTTCATTTAGGCCCGACCCTTCTTAGTATAAATACATGAAAAAATATTATTTTCTGGACTTTTGACATACTTTAGACTTAAGGAAGCTAAGGAGGAGTTGGAGAAGCAAAACCACAAGGATTTCATCATTCCTTCCTCACTTAAGACCGTTTGGATCAAATTTATATTTTCCTATACTTTAATTATATTTGTGATGAATTTCTCCATGTCTATGGAGTATTTCTCTTTAGGGTTTGGTAGATTTGGTATAGTGATGATTGTTTGTGGATTATAACTC